AAAACCCCCCCCCCCCCCCCCAGGGAACATGACCATACTGAACTCCCTTTTCTTCCATTCTCACTTCTGAATTTTGGGTATACATGCACATGTCCCTGGCATGATTCTCAACTGGGACTCAAACCATTGTTTGGGACTCAAACCATAGTCAGTCATGTGGAAGTCCAGCACCTTAACCATCACGCCACCAGCTGGCCCCCATTCATTGTTATTTTAAATGTCTCAGTTATACACAAAATTTTGAGAATGTTGCTTAGCCTTTTTAAAGTTTTGTTTCCTCTTTTGCAAAATGTGAGGAATAATTACATCTCTTGAGTTAGGAATACCATCAGAGTTCATTAAAATAATGCATGGAAAGTTGATAAGGAAGACAAAAGATACAAGAAACTATAAAAATCTAAACCATGGTGATAACTAGATAGAATGTGGATAATTTTTACTTCCTTCTTTTTTCGTTTTAAAGAGCTTTTTGCCTTAGGGTGCATGTGTTTTCCAGAGAGAAAGAGACAGAGACAATGAAAGAAAGTGAGAAATCCCTCCCAGGAGAATGAGGGGGGGGGGGGGGAATGGCCACTCTGCAATACGTTCTCCTCTATTTTTCTCCTGGGATCTTAGGCATGTATACACACGCACCCGGCATGTTTCAAGCCACTGGGTTTTACCTTTTGAAAATTTCCATAGAAGTCATGTTGCTTTTTAATCAGGACAAAAGAAAGATACCCAAAAGTCTGAGCTTTATCCTAAAAATATTTCTTCCAGGTCTTTGTAGAGTGTTCTGCCGCATGGAGCCCTAGAGTACCTCTGGGAGGGTCATCAGTGCTCTCTCATTTCTGGACATACTCTGTCTCATTTAGCATTTAGGACTTTATTTTTATCTATAACATTGGAGGACAAATATGAGGGCTCAGACATAGTTTGGCTCCTACAAAATTAGAGGGTTTTTGTTTGTTTGTTTGTTTGTTTTTTGCCAGAGGGACACATGCATTTACCGGAGAGAGACAGAGAAGGAAAGTGAGAAAGCATCCCCCATGGGAGATGTCCACTCCACAATCCTTTCTCTTCCATTTTTCCTCTTGGGGTATTGGGCACAGCCACGTATCACCAGGCATATTCTTCAAGTTGCTGGGTCTGGGACTCAAACTGTGCAGTCATGTGGGATCCAGTTGCCCCAACCACCATGCCACCAGCCAGCCTTAGAAAATTCTGATTAGAATGTTTTTGTTTTCAAAAAATTGAAATACCTGGTCTGACAATAGGACAAAGTGATTAGAGTCAAAATTGTCTTGAAAAACTTGGTGATGAGGTGGTGGTCCCATGTACATTTTGTCAGCATCAAGGGCTCACATCAGAGACTTCCAAAGAAACCTACTCTGTTGGTTCTCTAAATAGTGACAGGGCTGCTGCACTGCACATCTCTGGGGAGCACTTCAGTGGGGCCTCCTGGAGTTACACAGTTGGGCACAACAATAACGACTCTAAACTAGACAGCACCACGTATTACCACTCCCAGGGAGGTCACATGAAATGATGAACTTCCCTGCTCAGTAGGAGCCTAGATATATTGGGGGCATGCATACAAATGTAAGTGAACAAAGAATTCATTAAATAATTGTTCCACTGTGTGTTTTTGCTTTCAACTTTTAGGTCCAGTTTGTTATTGTCACCATCCACATAGGCCAGTTCTTTTTCATGGAGGATTGCAAGTACCAGTTTCCAGTCTTTTTGTACATCATTATGAGCTATGGGTGCATCTTTCTGCTGCTATTTCTCCATTTTTGGTACCGCGCTTACACCAAAGGTCAGAGACTGCCTAAAACTATGAAAAATGGCAACTACAAAAGCAAAGATCACTGAAATAGAAGCATAGCACGAATCTGTGAATGAGACTGAGGTCTTGTCTTCCTTGACAATCAAGATATATTTACCTATGCAGTTCATTTTGTATATTTTTCAAAACTAAGAGCTTGTATTTTTATGATAAGTTATTGGGGTTTCTGGTATTGGAGAGCCCAAAGCTCCCACATAACAGTCTTCTGATAATGAGAGCCTAAAGCATCCAGAAGTTTTTCAGCTACTTTTAAACCTAATCTAAAGGTTTTGTTTAATATATTTTGCTAAAGTAAAAGGAGGATGTGAAACAGTACTCTTCAAAGAAGTCCAGTATAAATGAAAAATATCATTAGATATTTTGAACATGGACAGAGATCTCTACAGAATACTAGATTCCTTCTGCCAGGGCTGGAAAATTCTATGGGTGGGCTCTGGCTTTGTGGCTTGTTGCCTATATTCAGAAGATGCTGTATTTACCGTTAAATTCCCATTAAGCGCTAACACAGGTGAATGTAAAGTAAATATTTTGATAAGTTGTTTAAAATCTCTAATGATAATTTTGATGGATTTTTTTTTGAGTAGCATCACCAGTTTTGCTGGTGAGAATTCCTCACAACAATTCTGTTGTATAAACTGTCTCAAAGTAACAGTCCTTTAGATTGGCAGGCTGATGCACTTGGCACTAAGGTTAAGTTAATATTAATTTGAAAACAAAGTGATTTGTTTTGTTGGGTTAATAAACAGTTTGCTATTACTGTTTTGTACCTTAACTCCATGTATCTCTGGAAAGAGGTGAATTGCTAATGGAAAAAGTACTGTGTAGTTCAGTAGGGGAATCTGTCATCAGTTGTATTGTAATGTCATGGCCTCATATTGGCATGGTTTAGAGCATTATCTTTGTTAAATACATATTGTCTATATACGTCATATCATTAGAACACTGCAGGTACCCTAAGACCATAAATAATTTTAGACCACTCATTCCACAGTTTTCAGAGATGGATTAGAATGGCTTGTAAAGTAATTCAAGCCAAATGGTGGCACAGAGAGTATCTGGGAAGATTTAGTTAGTTATAGATTATAGTTTGTATTATGGATTCACTACATGAAAAAGTATTTGACTGGAATTATGAATTAATTAACGGCCTGAATTTCTTTCCGTTTTCGATTATTTTTTTTTTAATTTTTTCCATAGAGTATATGTGCTTACTAGAGACAGAGACAGTGATAGGTAAAGTGAGAAATCACCCTCCAGAGAAGATGTCTATACTACAGTCCCATCTTCTCTGTCCTTCTCTTGGGATTTTAGGTATGCATGAACATGTGCCTGACATGATACTCAAGCCAACAGTTCTGAGACTCAAACCGTAGTCAGCCATGTGGGAGTCCAGCACTCTAGCCACTATGCCACCTGCTGGCCCCCAAGTAGTACAGTCTG